CCTGATCTCGTATTGGATGTCAAATTCTGAGAGTTTGAGCGACCATCTAAGCATTCTGCCTAACATGTCTGGCCGCCTGAGTAGCTGTTTGACGGGCTGGTCGGTTTTGACCATGATCGTGTGGGCCAGGAAGTAATGCCACAACCTTCTGGCCGCGTTGATGAGGGCTAGAGCGAGCTTCTCGATTAGCTGGTACCTGAGCTCGAAACCCTGGAGGGCTTTGCTTGTGAAATATATCGACTTCTAACCCTTAGGAGTCTCCCGAATTAGTGTCGCGCTGACGGCCTTGGTAGCGACGACGAGGTACAAGTACAGGGTTTCCCCGACCTCAGGCCTCGATAGTACTTGTGGCTCTGAAAGGACTTGTTTGAGGTGGAGAAGGGCCTGCTTGCACTCCTCGGTCCATTTGAATGCGGACTCCTTGCGCAGAAGCTTGAAGAATGAGAGGGAGTGTTGGGCGGACTTGGCAACAAAATGGGATAGTGACGCAAGCATCCTGTTTAGGGACTAGATGGACTTTTTCGTGTTCGGAGTTGTGAACTCGAAGAAAACCCTGCATTTTTCTGGATTCGCCTCTATTCCTCGTTCCATCAAGTAGAACCCGAGGAACTTGCCTGCCCGTACATCGAAGGTGCACTTCTCCGGATTGAACCACATTTTGCACTTCCTCGCCGTCTCGAAGACCTTTTTGAGATGGATGGTGTGGTCGATTTCTTCTCGTGACTTCACGATCATGTCGTCCATGTAGACTTAGAGCATGTCCCCAATCTCTCCCCGAAAGACTTTGTTCATCATCCACTGATAGGTCACGCCGACGTTCTACAAATCGAAGAGCATTACGTTGTAGTAATCATTTTCCGACTCATACATGAAGACTGTGTATTATTTGTCGGCCTTCTCCATGGGGATTTAATTGTACCTCGAGTATGTGCCCATGAATGTCAAAAGTTTAAAACCTGCAGAGTTATCGACGAGATTGTCGGTGTTAGGTAATGGGTTAGCATTTTTGGGACATGCCCGGTTGAGATCAGTGTAATCAACGCACATCCTCCATTTTCCATTATGTTTTTTAACTAGTATAACATTGGATAACCAGGTTGTATATTGGGCTTCCGATATAAAATTGGCCTCTAGGAGGTCTTTTACAGCTTTTTCAGCAGCCTCCGCTTTCTCGGAAGACTGCCTACGCCTACGTTGGACTACGGCCCTAGCGGCCAGATCTATGGTGAGGTGGTGGCATGTTACGTCGGGGTCGAGACCAAGCATCTCGTTAGTGCTCCATACGAACAGGTCAGCATTCTCCCAGAGGAAGACCTTCAGCTGCTTCCTCGCCAGGTCGGGGAGTCACGTGTCAATCTTCACGCTTCTTCCCGGGTCCTCTTTGAGCGTGATGAGCTCGAAGTCTCCATCTAGAATGAGGCGCATTGGATGGGATGACTTTCTGTTGTCTGCTGGAGGTGCGTCTTTAGATTCTGCGCTCTGCTCCTACTTGCTAGGGAACCGGCTGTCGAGATTGACGGAGTTTACGCAGGGTAGTGGCTTCTGCTCTTCAGCGCGGGATGGTCTTCCAGTCATCTTAGGGGTGATGTCGATCGAGTTGAGGCCTTTAAGTGTTGCACCAAAACATCTTCTGACCGCTTCGATGTCCCCATGGAGGGTGACGACTCGATCTATGGTCGTGTAGTACTTCATCTTCAGGTGCACTGTAGATGGTATTATGGTCAGTTCAGCTAAGGTTGGCCTTCCTAGGATGCACTGGTACAAAGAGGGACCTTCGATCACCAAGAAGCGAACCTTTACCTGCCTGGAGGTCTCCTCAGCTCCGAATGTGACGAGCAGCTCCACGTACCCCCAAGGCTTTGTGGTAGTGTCGTTGAAGCCATGTAGGTCGGAGACGACATACAGGGTCAGGTGGCTCTCGTCGAGCTGGAGGGTAGTAAATAGATGGGCGTACATTATGTCCACCAAACTCCCTTGGTCGACTAGGAATCAGTGCACGTCAAAGTTTGTCATCTAAGCCCTGATTAAGAGAGGAATGTTGGAGTTGGGTGCACCCCTGGGCAGTTCCTCGAGGTAGAAGGTAATCGGGTTTGATTGTCCTTTGAACTTGTCGAGGGTGGCGCTCTGCTTCGACCTCTTGTCGATCATCTCCTCGAATTTCCTCTTGAACGACCCGACTGAGAGCTTGCTATGGCCCTCGTCGAATATGACCAATGCGGTGGGGAAGTCCTCTCATGGACTGCAGGCGGACTACGGTGTGTCGGGCTTGCCAGGAAGGAGAAAGTCTTCTGCCCGGGAGACATATAGGGCAACCTGCAGTCCAGCTTCTTCAGAGGATGGTGACACCTCCTCGACCCTCTTGGCTTTGCGGGTCTCGTGCCAGGGAGTATCACTTCTTCGGGTGTACTGTTTCAGGTGGCCCTCCTTGATTAGTATCTCCATCGCATCCTTGAGATGGATGCAATCTTCTGTGACATGTCCATAACTCCGGTGGAATTGGTAGTATTTAGATTTGTCGACGTTGGGCTTAGGGGGTGTCGGTTTTGGAAAACGGACACCACCTATCTGAAATTTGGAGTTAATACACACGAACAAGATGCACTCGTGGGGAGCAGTGAGTAGCGTGTACTCAATGAACCGGCCTGCTGGCCCCCTCTGTTCTCGGGGTCGGTCCTCTCTTTTTCTTTCCCCGCCTCTTCGAGGAGGAGCGGTATCCTCGTGCTTGGCGCCTCTGATGCCTTCTTGATTCTGCGTGTCGCGGGCGCAGTGGGCAGCCTCTATTTCCTCATATTGGATGTATGATTGGGCCTTGAGGAGGAAAGCGTTTAAGGTGCGGGGTCTCTCAATCCCGACGGCCTTGGCGAAGTTTGTGCGAGGTTGCAGTCCTCGCTCGATCAAAAATTTATTCATGTCGTCCGAGGTGGACACCTAGACAGCTTCTCGGTTTAACCTCTCTTTGTAATCCCGAAGAGGTTCATCTTTCCCCTGGTTGATGGCTTCCAGGGATGCTTCTGTTTTTAGGTGGCGCCAGAAAGCTGTGAAGTGTATGGAGAACTGCCTCTTCAGTTCGCCCCCGGAGGTGATGGATTCGGGCACGAGGCACTTGTACCACATCATAGCACTCTTTCTTAGGGTAGTGGGGAAAATCCTACACTTGATGGCTCCATGGAAATTCCGATAGTCGAGCATCACATCGATGCTTTCGATATGGTCGTACGGGTCAATCGTACCATCATAAGTTGCCAAAGGCGAGGTTTTTTCCATCCCAACAGGCAATGGAGTCTCCCTGATGGCCCTGGACAGTGGTAAACGTTGGTCGTTCTCGTCACTCCTGACAGGTGACCGAGAAGGGGAACGGTCACCCCGATTATTTCTATTTCGTCGGGGAGGACTACTCGGCCGGCTCTTTGGCTTCTCGATGCCTCCTTCAGCTTTTTTCCTCTTCTAAGTGGGGGAGCATCGCTCCTTTCAGGGAGGTGATCAGTTGTGTTTTGGGGAGGCCGCTCCAAGCGAGGGTGACGTCCAATCTGTCGGGGAGAAGCGCTTCGAGAGTCGTTGTGTCACGTCCTCCACGAGGGAGGAGAGGGGCTGCTGGAAACGGGGCGACGATGTCTCCGCAGGGAGAGTGCGATTGTCGTTCCTTCTCGAGCATCCCTATCCGCTCATTCTGTTGGAAGACCATCAGATTGGTCTGGTTGATCGCCGCGACCAGAGCCACCATGGTAGGGTCGGCACTGGGTGGCATCGGGATTGGCTGGTAGCCAGTCGGGCTATCAAAGCATCAGGCGGCGTTGAATGTCGCGTCTTCTGAGGAGGGAGAGACGGTGTGCCTGTCCATAGAGTCACCCTCTTCGACGTGAACGGTCACATTGGGGTTGTGGTTGTCACCGTTGGTGAATGGAGCGAGTGCGGTTTCCGGAGCGTTGTCATTGCGTGGGCTGGCCATGATCAAACGAAAGTTGAATGTTGCTTTGGTTCTTGAGCTTATATGCTTCTATAAGAGAAAGAACGGGGGAGCAAAAGATTCCCACAGACGGCGTCACTGATCTTACCTGATCAGAAAGGAATCAACAGACTGTCATGTGTCGTGAGCTCTTGTGTTCACCAGTGTTGAAGAGGAGGAGGTGTACCTGCAAGGTACTCCGATGCTTAAGTGAGTAACGGAGTTAAAAATAGCAAATACAGAGAAAATTATCTGACCCTCTAGTGAAAGAGGCTATTTATAATGTGCCCCCCGGCGCTGGGCCAACGGTTACTTGCATTGCTCTGGATTTTCAGGCCCAACACAAGTAACTGCTAAGATCTACGTGGCATAGGGAAGACCAACACATGGTATTCACCCTAGTTCAACTACCCCGTGATCCTCGGAAGGTAGAAGACCGATTCTTTAGGACACGAGTGGTTGTCTGATGACGTGTCCCCATGTGGGGAACACGTGGAGAATGTGGTAAAGACGCGTGAGTCCTCCCCGTACAAAGAGCACTGAGTGTGTCCGACAGGGGAGGAGAATTGGGTCTTGTTGGGCATTCCCAACGTTATATTGGGTTGGGTCTGCCCGACCGTGGGGCAGGTACTGTCCTAGTCCAGAATATTTTTATTATTATGAGATTAATTGTTATGTACTCTTAGTGTAAAAAATTTTACACCGTTAATATATCACAATCATTCTTTGGTATTACTTTTTAAGTCGTTAAAATTAAAGTCAAATTTTTCAAACAAATCAACGGTTGTGATTAACTGTAAAAAAATTTTCCATTGTAAATGTATATCAATTAAATTCTATTATTAGTATTATTGTAAATGTATATCAATTAAATTTTATTATTATTATTATTATTTTCTTTTTTTACTAAAAAATAACCGATGGAAAGCATCCCACTTCCGAAGTTGGAGTAACAAACCGAAAGCCAAGTGGGCACGTTTCCTTTTTTGTGTTTGTTGTTCCTTTTTATCCAATAAAATAGACCTTTTAGCGGTGCATGTGTGACTCTCACCCAAACATGGAACAAGATCGGAGGCTTAAGCTCATCGACCTCGCTATTCAGAAACATATTCACGACAATTATCATAACCTTAAAGACCACGAAACTCAATACCAAAATACTCTCTCCCAACTACTCTCTGTCTCTCAGGTATTTTGCAATTCATGCTTTTTATGTCAAACACCACAACTACTCTTTGTTTATATGTCATATGATGTTATGTTATGAAAACAACACAATATAGGTTGATTTTGCTCAATTTAATGTATTAGCAGTTGGAGTTGTCTAAAAGAGATGAAACAGTTAACCGATCGGAAGTTTCGCCTGTGGCTTCTGTAATTGAGGAAAAAGAAAGTGAAACTGTAGTGGATGGTGAAGGTTGCAAGGAAGAGGAAAAGGATGAGATAATGAAAGAGGTGAAAAAGGTGAAGAGGCAGAATTTTGTGACTCATTGTCTTCTTTCAGTGATGATTGTCCTCACTGTGGCTTGGCAGTTATCAGAAGTTTCACTTATTATGAAAGTGAAGGATGGAATAAACCACCCATTTAGATCCTTTGGGAATATGTTCCAAGAGATGAAAGAGAAAGCCTTTGACATGAGTGGTCAGAATGCTGATGACAATGTATCTCTGTCTCTTCCTTCTACTGTTAAGGTGCCGGATATGACTAAAATGGATGCACCATATTTTGAAGAGGAATGAAACTTGTCATTTTCTTTAAGTGGTTGATTCTCCATCATCTATCGGTTGAACAAGTGAATCTGTAAAAGTAAATTAAGGAACATTTTAAGGGATTTTTTGTAATGGAAAGTGTCCATCCCCACTTTGTAAGAGCATTTGCTTGTTTACTTGTGCTAATTAAATAGGTTGCTTTATCTGTATTTGCTTGTGTACTTGTGCTAATGGGTGTAGGTTGCTTTATCTTGTAGTAATATTTACTTATTCAATTTGAGACCTCTATATTTGTATTGTCGCTGCGCATAAAATTTGAATATTTAAGAGAAGGAAATTGACCATAGGATGACAAAGCAATCATTTGCAATGGCTAGCACACTTGTGCTGGACAAACTTAAGAAAATTCAATATTTAAACCAGCAATGTACACAAAAACTCAAGTACTATGATAAAAACATTGATACATGCATAACCCAATTTTTAAATGCAAATTGCATGGATGTTTGGAGCCAGTATAGTTTTCAACCCCAAAATTTCATTGATCTTTAACAATTTTTCCTTCAAAGTTTTAATCGCAATTCTAAACGGGAGCCACAATTAAGAAATACCAACACAAACCAAAAGAGCCAATTTTAAATTTCAAATGTCTGAAGCAAAACAGCTGTAGGCAAACTTATACATTCTTCGGTCTATTATGTTCTTCATGCATAGTTCAACCGGAATACGTCATTCAACACATAATAGCTTCCTTGCGGTGTTGGTATCAAATGGAACATCTGCAAAGATAAAAAAGTTGTTGAGTTCGTTAATCATGAATGAGATCAGAAAATAGGTAATTCTAGTATAAGATTAAAAAAAACAAGAAATGATCCTGATGACCATCAAGTGATATTGATACCTCTATTCTCAAACAGTCTCAGTTCTATTTGGGCAACATGGGATAGGATCAATTAACACCAAAGTGTCATGAAACCAAATCCTATCCGTTTATTATTATTAACTTAAAGGTTAAGATATATTCCCTTAAAACTAATCCATAGTATTTTAAGAAAATTTATCTTAGTCATTGAATTGATAATAATAAAAGGGTAGGATTTGGTGTCAAAATTAATATTTGACACCGGTGTGAAATGATCTCCTCCCTATAATAACTGGTAAATGCACAAAATACTCATCTAACAATATGAAGAAAAAACAGTAAATTTGGAAAATTCTCTCTAATGTTTAGTTACAGTAACCCTAATGCCAAACCACACAGGCTATTTTCCTCCGGCAACTGGCCAACTATGAGGCAACAATAACAATCAAGCCTTGTCTCACTAATTTACCCTCCTTACTACAATTCACATATCTTCTCTCTACATGCTCAAACCACCTAAGCCTAATTTGCACTATAAGTCTACCCGACACTCTAATATTCTCATTTCTAATCTTGTCTTGTTTAGTCTTACAACACGTCCAACGCAACATCCTAATCCACAAACAATTTAGGCAGTGGTTAATAATTTCATCATTTTACCTTCCTACTTGAACCATGTTCTTCTCAACACCATCTCAGACTTTGATTTCTAGAGACAGCATTAGAGAGTTCTTCCAAATGGTAACTAAGTTATGAGAATTTTTTTTATTCCCATTAGCCCTTTCAGTATTAACTACTCCAACATTTGGCATTCATAGACACTCCACTTAGATTTCAATAATTTATACTAGAATGGTCCTAAAATATGAGTGAAGTAGTAAGAAAGCACATGTCTATCCAAGAACCACTGAACACAAACTAGCATTAATCCTTGGTGAACAAATCAAAGCAATAAAGGCACAATTTTTAAGGCATAGTGGCATTGAGATTTGAAAGCAATGTAACACCAGCAGGACCACAAACACATCCCCACCCTACCAAATAAACTTTCAACAACATCAATTAATCAACAATACTCTATAGAGAAAAATAAAATTGGTACATAAAGGAATCTCCGTGGAATTATTAATGAGCAAAGTTCAATTTAACACTTAGAAATCCAAATCCATTTCGTATATGTAAGATAAATCCGTCCTAATAAGAATAAATAAAAACCCAATTTAGTCCCTGAAATTGTAGTGTTTCAACATAATCCCTCTCTATATTAACAATTTTCCAAAATGATCACAAATATTAAAGATACTAATCAAATTTACCTCTTCGTTGGTCTGCTCAAGGATAAATAAAAACCCAATTTAGTCCCTGAAATTGTAGTGTTTCAACATAATCCCTCTCTATATTAACAATTTTCCAAAATGATCACAAATATTAAAGATACTAATCAAATTTACCTCTTCGTTGGTCTGCTCAAGGACTATAATCTATAATGATATTAAGTCTGTAAAGTTAGAAATGCATTTGGAACCAGGTGAACCATGTTTATGGTGCATTTTACAATATATCCCACAAAGGGACAAACCTAATTAAGTCCTTACAAACATAATGATCATTTTAGAATACTAATAATAACATGCAAAATTCAGGAAGCAAATTAGATATTCACGCCAATAGGTACAAAAGACAACAAGACATGTTTGAATAAATAGCTTAATTTGCATCTTATAACATAAGTACTTATCACGTTAAGCATGTATAAGTTAATTCTATGACAAGAGATGAATCAAATTATTTTCATACAAATTGCAAGTTGTTTTCATAAGCTATTTTGAAAAATTAAGAGAATAAGCTGAAACATGTCATAAGTTATTTTGATAAACTATCTTGAAAAACCTATGAAAATAAGCTGAAACATGTGTCATTAGTTGTTGTTTGCATAAGCTTTTTTGAAACTTATGAAAATAAGCTGAAGCATGTATCATAAGTTATTTTCATTAACTATCTTGGAAAACCTATGAAAATAAGCTGAAACATGTGTCAATAGTTGTTTTCATAAACTATCTTGAAAAACTTACGAAAATAAGCTGAAGCATATATCATAATTTATTTTCATAAACTATCTTGAAAATTTTACGAAAATAAGCTAAAACAAGTTATTTTCATAAACTATCTAGAAAAACCTATGAAAATAAGCTGAAAATGTGTCACTACTTGTTATCATAAACTATTTTGAAAAACTTATGAAAATAAGCAGAAACATGTATCATAAGTTTTTTTATAAACTATCTTGAAAAACTCATGAAATTATGAAAATAAGTTGTATCATATGTTCTAAGTTGTTTTCATATGTTCTCCAATATGACGAAAATATATTCCAATGAGTCAATGAAATGAATCACAACCGTGAAATTTAGATAAATTCGAATTAAATCAATCAAACAAACCCCAAATCTAAAAGCAAACAACAATAAAATTAGCAAATAATCAAGGCCACAACTATTAGAAGAAACTAGAGATCCAACAAAATCACACAAAAAACAACCTCGCAGAATCCTTTGGGAGGATAGCACATGATGGTCAAAAACCTAAACCAAATAAATTTGCAACACTTAAATACTGTAATCAAGTAATAATAAAATTGAGATTTCATAAAACCTAGATCCACCATATCAGAGCAAATAAGAACAAAATTACCGATAAAAAACAAAAGCCCTAAAATCTAGAATTAAAAAAACCCTAATTAGAGAGAGGGGGAGTGATACCTGACTGAACTTAAGGGTGTGCTGTTCGCCGGCCAGCTGGAGATTCCCGCTGACGAAAACAAGCATTCCACCGTTAACGCCAGATGGCTGACAATCAACGGTAGTGATGGAGTGATGACACTGCTGAAAAGGGAGAGAAGTGAGTTTGGCAACGATATTCTGAGAGCCCTGAATCTTCTGACCTTCGAAGGTGAGCATAGAACCTTCCTGGTAGAGAGATGCGAGACCGGGACGGTTAGTGTCGAAGGTGCTGTAGTAATGCTCGACGAATGCCTTGGCCAACGCGTCTGGATCCATCGCTTCCGATTCAATTGCCGCCGCTAATGATCTCTTTTTTCTTTTGGTTTTTGGTTTCTGCTGCACTCTCACGCAGACTTACTGCCTCCTTGGTATAAATACGCGCTCTCACTCCTCCCTCGATGACCCTTTGTTTTTTTCTTTTTTTCATTCAAAAAGAACAATTAGTCACCAATTTTTTTAATTTAATTGTGTGTTTTGTTTTAGTGCTTTAACTAAAAAAAATCTTATATTTTGGTCCCTTAAAATTAGTCATGTTAGCATTATTGATCTTCCACTAATTTTTTTGAAAAAAAACTTTAATTGTTGTCAATGTAGCATGACAATTTGGAAATTGGTAAAATCTTATCTCAACAAAATCTTATCTCTTATATGCAAGTTGTGTTTTTTTCCATTCATGTATCATAACATGTTGTTTCAATCTTTCCTTAAAAAATCACAAAAGTCCAAACCCTAATTTTCCTTCTCTGTCATTTAAGACCTGGCGCAACTCCAACATCTCATTGTCATGCAACTTAGCACGCACACACTCACTTTTTCTTTATCTCTCTCTAACTCTAATTCCAAAACCTTAATCCCAAATTTTGATTTAACATTTCTTCTCTCCGACAAAATTCTCGTCAAAATCATCTCCAAACTTCTGAATTCACAAGGCAAATCGAACTCACTCGTTTCAAAACGGTGGTTGAATCTCCAAGGAAGGCTCATTCGCTCATTAAAAATCTTTGATTTGAACTTCGTTTATCATGAAGGTTAATTCATAAATTCCCTAATCTTACACATGTTGACTTGGTTCCTACAACTTTCATCATTTATCCTAAAAAAAAAGGTGTTGTTTTGTTGAGTCACCGTGTCGTTTCAATGCGGGTTGCACTAGGTGGTGTTTTTGGGTTTACCGAGGAAGGGAAAAGCTTTTTACCGATTGAAGCAATAGATAAGGGACTCAAAGAGGTTGTGAAAAGGTGTCAGAATTTACGGAAGTTGGAGGTAACAGGTGGGAGTGAATGGGGTTTAGTTACTATTATGGAAGAGTATGTTACATTGATGGAACTAGAGCTGCATAAATGTAACCATAACATTTTGCGTGGGGTCATGACGTGTAGGAATTTATAAGTTGTGAAGTTAATTGGGAGTGTTAAAGGGTTTTATGAATTTGTGGTTTCGAGTATGCTCAAGGGTGTAAGAGGTTAGTGAAATTTGAGCTTTTTGGTTGTGAAGGTAGTTTTGTCGCTCCAAATTTCAAACGTGATTGATTTCGTCGTCTTCGTCTTATTTGCCGCTCCAAGTTTTCAAACGTACACAGTGAATAATTTTAGAGAAGAGTGAGCTAGGGTTTGTACACAGTAAAGAGTTGGAATGTTATTTCTAATGTTGGAAATGTTATTGATGATCTAAATTAAAATAATTGGGTTAATAAAATTAGAAAAGGAAAACTAAAAGTCATGTCATATTTTAAAAAAGGCATCAGATTGTCACGTAGGCAAAGTTTATCTTTTTTTCTAGGAAATTTAATAGAAGAGACTAATTAGGCTAATATAACAGTTTTAAGGGATCAAAGTGTAATGTCTTTTAATTAAGAGACTAAAGCGAAACAATAAATTAAGTTAAGAGACCAAAAGATGAATTAATTCTTTTTAAACTTATGTTATAATTTTTAATTAGTCACTATCGTAATTTTGTACATCTTTTTTTCATGGAAGTTAATCATATATATATATATATATATATATATATATATATATATATATATATATATATATATATATATATATATATATATATATATATATATATATATATATATATATATATATATATATATATATATATATATATATATATATATATATATATACTTCTGTGAGATATTGGATCGAACTCAAGCATGAGGTCAAAGTTTATTCGCATGCTGCTGTCAGAGTAATGCGTGTTGTAGTCGAAGTTTGTTCTAACATGCATTAGTCAATACTGCTAAGTTTGTTAGCATGTTGAATTAGGCCTTGCTTGTAAGCCCAATTGTTTAAGTTATCTTGTACCCTAAGTTAACTTGTAATGGATAATTGTTAAAAAGCTCATTAGGTTAGTGTGTTAATTTTCTTATAAATAGCATGCTAGTCTCTCATCTTGGCATAAGGAAAAATAAGAAGATAAAATCCTAATTTCAAGAGAGAGAGATTATTTTGTTATTCTTATATACTTGTAATCTTATTTCTAAGAGAAAGGAAAGAATAACAGTTTATAATCAATCATTGTTATTCCTTGTTGTTTTACCTTGTTTTCTTTGTTAAGCCTAACCCTTATGTGTTTCTTGATCATAAAGAAACAATTTATACTTTGTTTCAAGACATCTGATTCACAACAAATTGGTGTGGTGAGTATGAAGAAGATGCCTCCAACAAAGTATGAGATTGAAAAGTTCACCGGAGTGAACGACTTTAGTCTGTGGCGCTTGAAGATGAAAGTCCTAATGGTTCAACAGAGTTGTTTGGAAGCGTTGAAGGGAGAGGCAACCATGGACGTTGCATTAACGACAAAAGAAAAGACGGCCATGATTGAGAAATCCCACAGTGCAATATTTTTGAGCCTTGGTGATAAGGTTCTTCGACGGGTATCAAAGGAGACTACATCATCGGGGTTATGGGTGAAACTTAAAAGTTAGTATATGACCAAATCCCTGGTGAATCGACTCTATCTGAAGCAAGCTTTGTATTCATTCAAGATAAGTGAAGACAGAGTGTTGGTTGAGCAGTTGGATATGTTCAACAAGCTGATTCTTGATCTTGAAAATATTAATGTGAAGATCGATGATGAAGATCAAGCATTGTTGCTGTTGTGGACTTTGCCTAGAACACATGCTCACTTCAAAGAAACTCTCTTGTATGGAAGGGAGTCCCTGATCTTTGAAGAAGTTCAATCAGCCTTGTATTCTAAGGACTTGAACAAACGAAAGGAGCATAAATATTCGGCGATGGACGAAGGTTTGGTTGTTAAGGGAAAATTCTTACGAAAGGATGGTAAGTTCGACAAGAAGAAAGGTAAAAGTCAACAGAAGTATTATAGTGGCAAAACATCTGGTATTCGATGTTATCACTGTAAGAAGGGGGGTCACACAAGAAAGGTGTGCCCTGAACACCTAAAAGATCGTGGAAGTAAGGATAATGGCAACTCAACCATTGTTCAAGATGACTTTGACTCATATGATGTTCTTGTGGTTTCAAGTGGAAACTCAAGAAAAGAGTGGATTATGGATTCAGGTTGCACTTGGCACATGACTCCAAACAGAGAATTCTTCGAGGAGCTATGTGATAAAGATGGTGGATTGATGCTGCTGGGAAACAACAAAACTTGCAAAATTGCAGGTATTGGATATGTGAGATTCAAGCTCCATGATGAGTCAATAAGGTTATTGACTGAAGTCAGGTATGTACCTGATTTAAAGTGAAATTTAATTTCTCTTGGTGAATTCGACAAGAAGGGATATGTTTTTCAAGGAGAGAAAAGTATCCTAAGAGTCATGAAGGGGTCGAAGGAAGTCTTGAGAGGCGTGAAGAAACAAGACTTGTATACCCTTGAGGTTGAGGTTATAAGTGGTTCGACAAATGTTGCATCCACGAAACCTATGTTGAAGACAGAATCATGGCACATGAGATTGGGCCTTGTCAGCGAAAGAGGCCTGGTCGAATTGGGGAAGCAGAACCTGCTAGGAGGTGACAAAGTCGAAAAGTTGGAGTTTTGTGAATCTTGTGTATTTTGTAAATCCTGTAGGGCAAAGTTTAACAAAGGCAGGCAAAGAACACATGGATCTCTGGATTACATTCATGCTGATCTTTGGGGGTCTGTAAGGAATCCTTCACACTCAGGTGCAAGGTATTTTCTATCCAACGTTTATGACTATTCCAGAAAGTTATGGGTATTCATCTAAAAGATGAAGGATGAAAATTTTGATAATTTCAAAAGTTGGAAGGTTCTGGTCGAAACTCAAACTGGCAGAAAGGTTAAGAGGTTGAGAACCGACAATGACCTTGAGTTCTGCAACAAAGCGTTCGACAGTTATTGTGTTGAGTCTGGGATTGCAAGGCATCAAATTATAGCAGGTACTCCTCAACAAAATATCTTAGCTGAGAGATTCAATCGAACAATCCTTGAATAGGTTAGACGCATGTTGGTTAGTACTGGATTGAACAAGGTGTTTTGGGTGGAGGCTGTTTCAATAGTGGCTTATCTGATAAATAGATGTCCCTCGAATGCCTTGGGAATGAAGACACCTGAAGAAGTTTGGTCGACACATCCACCTAGTCTCGACAGACTGAGATATTTAGTTGCGCGACCTATGCTTATATTAGGCAAGACAAGGTTGAACCTAGAGCCCTGAAATGCATGTTCATGGGATACCCTAAAAGAGTCAAAGCTTATAGGCTATGGTGCCTAGAGCCAGGTCACAGGAGGTGTATCACCATTCGAGGTGTACTTTTAAATGAAGCAGAGATGGCTTTCAGGAAAACTGATGATGCTGACGAAGAGTTGGAACAGGGAAAGATTCATGTTGAGGTGGAACATGTTGATGTTGAATTGCGTACCCCAGATGAAGTTGAAGAAGACGCGGAAGATGTTTTCGAAGATGAGGAGACTGATAATGACTACCTACTAGCAAGAGACAGGTCGAGGAGAATCATCAAGCCACCTCAAAGACTTCATGTATGCAGATCTTATAGCTTATGCCTTAATCTCTGCAAGTGAGGTTCTAGATGAAGAACCTAGAGACTATAAGTAAGTTATGAGGAGTCAAAAGAAGACTGAATGGCTGAAGGCCATGGATGATGAGATGAAATCTCTTCACAATTTTCATACCCTAAATTTGTCCTATTTACTTATTAACAAGTGTTATTGTTAATTAACAGTTTTTTTTAGATGGTCATTTGGCCTATGGTCTAGATCTTCTAAAAATGGCGTCAGGCCACACTTCGGGACAAGTCCAAGTTGTGTACTAACATGATTCTAAG